TAGGCCATTCAAATCCACTTCAAGTACATAAATAAATAATTAACTATTATACAACCTCCTATTATCGTGAAGGATGATCTCTGCTGTCTGTAGGTTTCCAAGAAAAAACACCCTAGTTGCTTCATAACAAGGCAATTAGATGTTCACAAGTTTCTCCAGAGAAAATATGTCAGATTTATACACCTTATGCATATCAATCTTATTCTCCAGCAAGAATTTGTCAAGATCCTTTATGGCCTCCAGAGCTTCTTTGCAGATCATCCATGAGGCCAATTTTCTTCTTTGTGTCTATAGAAGTATAGCAACAATGGACCCGTTCCTAAATGTTTGGGTGTCACCTTATACCAAATGAAAAAAAAGAGCATCCATGACGTTGGAAATAGGTCATCCACTTCAAGTACATAAATAAATAATTAACTATTATACAACCTCCTTTTATCATAAAGGATGATCTCTGCATGTCTATAGGTTTCCAAGAAAAAACACACCAGTTGCTCCATAACAAGGCAATTAGACGCTCACGAGTTTCTCCAGAGAAAATATGTCAGATTTATACACCTTATGCATATCAACATTATTCTCCAGCAAGAATTTGTCCAGATCCTTTATGGCCTCCAGAGCTTCTTTGAGTTCATCCATGAGGCTAATTTTCTTCTTTGTGTCTATAGAAGCATAACAACAATGGACCCGTTCCTAAACATTTGGGTGTCACCTTATACCAAATGAAAAGAGTATCCATGATGTTGGAAAGAGGTCATCCACTTCAAGTACATAAATAAATAATTAACTATTATACAACCTCCTTTTGTCATGAAGCATGATCTCTGCATCTCTATAGGTTTCCAAGAAAAAACACTCCAGTTGCTCCATAACAAGGCAATTAGACGTTCACGAGTTTCTCCAGATAAAATATCTCAGATTTACACCTTATGCATATCAACCTTATCCTCCAACAAGAATTTGTCTAGATCCTCTATTATGGCCTCTAGAGCTTCTTTGAGATCATCCATTAGGTAAATAATGTAAATTTTTCTCTAGATACGAAGACTTTGTTCTCATCCAAGTTCCTCTAGAGAACAATACATTTTTCTTCTCTACGTCCTCTCCTTCAGCTCCTTCAATACTCTATCACAGATAATAATACAGTCATGCCTTAACTTCTTTTCCCTTATCATCACCGGTCTATTGGAGTAGGAAACTTCATCTCCATGTGACCAGGGGCGGATAAATAAACTTCAGCCACTGGGAACAAGACTATATGTTAACTAATATATGGTATTTTTACCAAAAATTTTAGACACACCATTACTAACTATGAGTGTCTATTTAAAAAAAATCTGAGGGCCTAGGCGACCAATGGGTAAAACAGTGTGAGGAAAAATTGATACAGGGGTTTAACACTAAATTAATATATCGGCATGTGCAAATGCACGTGCAAGTAACAGGAAGTTTTTATCTTAACAATTCACTGCCCTTCATGTCAATTATATTATTTATGATTTAATGTGTACACATGGAATTTCTACTAAAAATGCACGTTGCATACTGTAAATGTTTAAAATAATAAAATAAGTAAAAAATGTATAGTTTAACCATCATTTCCATATAAAAATAAATGTAAAATAAT